AAAATGCAATAAAACGAATGAACAGAAATTGCCGTAGGCAGTTTAAATAACTTAAAAATTTTTACATTCAAAACAATTTTTTTCAATCCTTTTTTTTTACATTTTTTTCGAAAATTTCAAAAATATTTTTAACATTTGTTTCTAAATATTTACATTCTTCAACTTTTTTTTTTAATTTTGAGAAACATATGGTTTTTTTTTAACAAGTGTTAATATTACAGTTTCGTGCTGTTTTTTGGTTATAAAACTGTTAAATGGTAAAAAAAATACTTAAGCGCAGTAGTGGTCTCATATACATACATATGTATATTCATAACAGACAACATATCGTTGATGAAAATTTTAAATACAAAAAATATTTTCAATAATACTTCATAAAAAATTATTTTGAATATTTCCTAAACAAAAATTAAAATTTTATCATGCTAATCCTTTATTTGACATAAAAATGTTTTTCACTCTCAATGTTTACTTATTTGGAATTAGAGTAAGTAATAACAGGAAAAAATTAACTTAACTGCTTTTTTATTTTTGAGACAAAGCAAATGCGCTTAAAGTACTGCGCGTGCGTAAGTCAGCGGCGCACAAAAATTCAAAATAATTCGTGCTTTTCACCATTTTTAACTGATCAAAAAGGCATTCGAGTTGGAAATAAAAGAAAATCAAGTTGGCAGTCAGTTGCAGCGCCATAAAGCAAAGGATTGCGAGGATGAAATAAACAGGCGTGTAACGGTACATAAGTTGCGAGGGACAAGCGTGTAGCAACTGAATAAAAGAAAAAAGCGACTCAAAAGCTGCAACAGCTGCCACTAAATATGTTTGTATGTAGTTGCAGTGCGCCATAGCATAACCCCATAAAGAAGACGTACTGAGGGCTGCAGCGCAGCTATGTCTTTATATCTTTGGCTTTGCTTCATCTTCCATGCATATTTCCTGCTGCCTTGGCAGCCGTCACCCAGTTGCATGCACGAGTGAATTTATTATGCGTAATGAAGGGTGGCTTTTAAGGGTATTGTGGCTTTTTAGGGTTTTAATTTAAAATATTGTCTGTTTTTCTTCTTAAAAAGGTGCTTATTTGTTGAAATCGTCGGTATTGAAACACTGTAGGTAGTAGCTGCCATACAGACTGACCGATCAAAATAAAGTTTTTGTATGGAAAACTTTTTTACTAGACAAGATATCTTAACGAGATTTGGCAAGTGTAATCAACCAAAGTAATTCCATAATTTCCACTGGCATACAAACTGACCAATCAAAACAAGCCTTTGTATATAAAACTTTTTTATTTGTCAAAATATCTTCACGAAATTTACCATGACTTATTCTTCTAGCT